ACATAAAAGAACATAGTGTAGTATAAAAGTCATATAATGATCTAAAAATACAGAAGAGGATTATGGTCACAGTTTTTCTCAAGATCCTAACATTTTTCTCAAAATTATTTGATTAAAGTCAAATTAAAGTCAGAATCTAATTTCAGAATTCTAACTTTAATCTCCAAATATTATAATTTTGATGGGAAACACTTCAGTCCTCTTAATAATAATTTTAAAAAGACTTTAATTTCACTTCAAAATCTGAGAGGAAAAAAATGTAGTTATCGGATTAAATGAAGTCTGTGGAAMAAGTCAGAGTTGACCATCTCAGATTTCTAACTTTATTCTCAGCACAACTTGTGCTAATCTCAGATCTGATCAGGCGCAGTAACAATTCTAAGATTCTAACTTTAATTAAAATCTTAAATAAAAAAAATCTGAATTCTGACTTTATTTAGTCTTTAATCAGAGAATTCTGGTATGAAAATAGGTTCTGACTGACTAATCTCAGAATTCTGAATTTGAGAATTTAATTTTTTCTGAGAATAATGAGGTTTTTCTTCGTAGTGCTCTGATAAAGGTGAAAATTAAAAAAAGGAATTAAAAAAGTACTAAATTACATTAAAAAATCTGCATTATGTTTTATTTTTCTTTCTCTGAACTATCTGATTAAAGCCAGATTAAAGTCAGAATTCTCTCTGAAAAATCAGGGTTGACTAATTTAAAAACAATCTTAGAAAATTCTGACTTCTAACTAATCTCAGCCTTCTGACTAATTTCAGAGAAAATATTTAAATTTTGACTGATTTCAGAATTCTGACAAGAAAGAAAGTCAGTTTTGACAAATGACTAATGTTTTGACTTTTCGTTTGTATTTCTTCTACTTGAAATCAGCTCGAACCACTCTCCCTCTCCAAGATGGCGGTGCCGTTAACGTGACAAGCCTGCAGCAGCGCAGCCTTTGGACGTAACCACCGCCTCCCCCCTGTGTGTGTGTGTGTGTCGGTTCGGATGAAAGGTTCGGATCGTACAGTCGGAACTTCCCATGCGGTGTGTGCTGTAAACATAGAAACAGGTGAGCTTTACCAAAACAAAACACGTTCTCGGTCTTTATTATTATTATTAGCATTAGCTCGCGTTAGCTAGTCTGAGCTCGCGTGGGAGGAATTGCTAGCAACCAGTGTCGCTGTCATCATCCAACCCGCACGAACGAGAACCGTTATATCGTCTTATTATTGGTAACTTGGGCTAAGTTGTTATATTTTAACACAATGTTCCGCCATATTTTACTAATATTTCCGATACCTTTAAGCTAACAGACGCATAAATATTTTGTTTGCATGATGGAAAATCTTTTGTTGATGCCAGACATTCCTACAGCCTCATCCAGTCATGGTCACGCGCTGCTTTCCTCGCCCTGGGAACATCCGGTTTGTCAAGTCTGATCCATCTTAAAGTCAAWCAGAAAAGGAAAATAATCCTAGGGTTTGTCTATGTCGTCGTTAAAGGAGCTAATTCTTTGCTGCTTCTGTAGACTATCTGACATCATTAATGTGTGTTATCTAGGGTTGGGCAATATTGGCAAAAAAATTAATCACGATTAATTGTGGTATTTAGCCGAAAACGATTAATTTGACGATTAATCCCCTGGAGTCCCTGGACACCCTTATGTCCTGATCACATAGTGGGAAAGATTTGCTCTTCATAAAAATCTGTTCCAAATTGTGTCAAAATTACAAACTTCAAGCCACACATCAAATTTTAAATTGTGTTGACAGATAAATAAGTTACAGGACTTTTTTTAATGTTCGTTATATATGAAGCAGAGAGGAGCAGCGAGCGGACTCTACCTGTTGGCATTAATCGTATTAATCGTCAAGTGCCAAAAATTAATCGATTAATGTTTTTCTGATGATTAATCACACACGACACGATTATGCCCAACCCTAGTGTTATCACAACGACAAGGTGGAAGGTCATCAGCAGTGACCCCCAGAGAAGTAGCTGCTGCTGCTCCCCACTGATCCTTGAAGGGTCAGAGGTCATTTATTTAACTATTTCAAGTCCATCATTCTACAAAGAAAATGTTTAGGACAGCTGACTATCTATCCAGGAGTGGACGTCTCAGAAAACTCACCCCAAGGTCAGACCGTGCAGTGCACTGAGAAAAGCTAAATAACCCAAGAAGCAAACGCTGGAGTTGGTAGACCAATAGTCACAAACTCTGAGCAGTGACAGAACGTAGGAGATGGTAAATCTAGGAGGTCTAAATGAGTTTACTGTGCTGAACTCTTCCTTAGAGGTAGGCTGAGAAGTTTGGCTCCTCCACATCCAGAGGAACAGCTGAGGAGGTTCATCTGGTGAGGATGACCCCAGGGTGCAACTTGGAGGAGACACATTAGAAGACCCAGGACATGCTGGAGGGACTTTAAGCCCCTACATACTCCATCTGAATCGATTTGCTCTGATTTTAGCAGTTATGTGTTGTGTGACTGACTGGTCAGACGTTTGTGGGTCGGTAGATGCAGAAAGTGTGAAAAACAATGGTGACATTTTTTTTAACTACTTGCTTCTAGAAGCCGACTGTTGTGAACGAATGAATTTATTTATTTGGGACAGTGTGCAATTAAAACATAATTTGATGCATTGCACCAGATTTAGCCTAAGGCTAATTTACATCTGTAGTCCCATCAAACAGTAAAAACAAAACAACATCCAACAGTAAAATAGAAATAAATGGTACTGAACTTATAGAGCGCTTTTCAAGTCCCTCCGGACCCCCAAAGCGCTTTACACTAACAGACATTCACCCATTCACACTCACATTCACACACTGTAAGATAAATAAGATAGAAAAAAACAGAAAAATAAAAAAAATAATATAAAATGAAACATTTTGCAATTAAAAAAATGCATAAAACACCCCACCCCACTCTCCAAACATAAAATCATGCCCACCTCCACCCCACGCTCCAACCTACACAACCAGAAGCAAACTAAAATCAGTTACCCAGCGCAATTCAATGACTGCAACATTGAGAAGATTTAAGATATTTTTTAAGATTATTTTTAAAACTAATAAAAGAACTACAAACAACATGGTTACTCTTCAGACACATTTTCACACAAAATTATGATTATTGTTTATGAATTATGAAGTTGTTGCTAAACAGACGCAACCAGCGACTCCACCCCCAACCAATCAGTGACCGACAGTGTTCTGACGTCGCGTTTTCAGGCCAGCACGGTACGGTTGGCACCTCGACGGAGTAGGTACTAAAAATAGTGTCGGTTCCATGAATCCTAGATAATGGAAATGACATGGAACCGTGCTGAGCCAAGCTGAGTCGTGCTAAGTAGGTACTAATGGAAATGGACCATTGTAAATGTAGTTCAAAAACTCACAGATGGAAAGAGCACAGGTATTTTGCACAGAGGAATCTGTCTGTTGTAAAGTGTGACGATCCATTGAGATATATTTGTGGCCAAACAGTGGATATTGTAATGTTACTCCAGGTGGGAAGGAACTCTACAGTCACATGCACAGTAGCAGGAGCTCGGCGTGGTGTGCATCATGGAATATGAAAGCTGTGTAATAATGAACGTTGAGCAACCACGTTGACCGCATGTCGACTGTTCAACCTAATGCTGCGTTCACACCGAACGCGATTTCAGCGTCAGGAGCATCAGGTTTACATACAAAGTCTATGGTGGACGCGCTTCAAGCAGCGTCGGGAAGTGCTGCGGCGCCTCAAGCGCGATTAGAGCAGCGCGATTTGAACGATCTGAGCGTTCGACGTGCTTGATGCTCAAATCGCTGAAGTTAGAAAATCTGAACTTTTGCAGCTCGACGTGCAGCGTCATCCAATCAGAGAGACTCCACTGTGTGACATAGCGACATATTTCCCGACGGGACAGTTTACTGAATGATGTCCACTAACCTGAAACAGATGGAGAGGAGCTCTTTAGCTGAAATCGAGTGCCTGCAGTCGGTGTCCTGACAGAGATATCCACACCAATGCGTGGCAGCGACTCATCAGACTGGACTCGGGACAAAAATAGTCCTGAAAGCGAGCTGTGAGCCTCTTCTCTGAATTATCTGGTGAATTAATTATGAATTAATTATCTGATGAACGTGACATGCTCTTGCTCTCTGTAAATAAAGCAAAGCCACTTCCTCGTCCGACATTAAACAGAGCCCGACAGAGGAGGGAGGGGCGGGGAGGCTGTTGCCGTGCAGCGCTTCAAGAGCTGACCTGCGTCTGACCTCAAAGTGCACAAGCTTCAAACTTCAGCGTTGGCTGCGATTTTGAAGCTGAAATCGTGTTCGGTGTGAACGCAGCATCAGATTAAGTATGTTGGGCCTTAATGTCTATCAGCTGGTCTGGGAGCACCTTGGAGTTCTCCCACAAGAGCTGGAGTAGGTGGTTGTGGAAAGAGAGGTGTGGACCTCCATCAAACTGCTGCTCCAGAGACCTGACTCTGGAACAAGAGATGGAGATGTGATGGTTTGAACTTGTTCGACTGCCACAGGACCTGGAGTATTTTAGAGTCAGATGACCTCATTTTGCTTACGAGTGGATATAAAATAACACTGACATTGAAAGGAGAGACACAGTCATCTGCTGGATGATGGATGTGATGAGAGATGAAAAGCTGAGGTGACCATCACTGTGTCAGTAAAATGTTGATGTTGTGCCTTTTCCAATGAGTTGCTGACGCCTCCTGTGACTGTTTTTTTTTTTAAATTTTGTCACTACTACAGTAGTAGTTTTCATAGGCATGTCCTGATCCAGATTTTTTTGCTTCCCGGTATGACCAGATTTTTAAAAAATAATCAGTCTTGCCAATACCTATCCGATACAGATCTGATATAAATATGTTCAAAACATTAAAAAAATGCCAGTATTACTTAACAGTTTTTATTTTGCTTTATAACATGACAAACAATATTTCTTGGCTTTTGTAACAAACATTTTATGAGTCTAAGACATAAAAAAATTAACCTACAGATTAAGAAGAAAAAAGATAATCTGATCTCAACATTCAGTATAAAAATAAAACAATATTTTGAAGATATTGAAGGTGGGGACAAATAAAAAACCACAATCTTGTCCATTATTCAAAATGTGACCCTCTGTGCTAAAGTTAACAGTCCACACTTCCAGTTTCACTGACTGTGCCCAAACCAGTGAGATCATTGCTCTTAGTCTTCACTGATATAATAGTGTAAACAAAATAAACATTCCACTCTAATAATAAGTGCCAAAACAAATAATATTTAACTACGTCCATAGCTGCCTTTTTTAATGGCTCCATCTTCACTTTCTGTGGTCCGAGCTTGATGTGGAGGTTCTTTWTTTTAAGAAGATAGGCATTTCTTCATGCTGAGCTGTCAGCCTGTTCCTGTGTTCCTCACTGATAATTAAAGCTGGGCTAAAGAGCCTCACGCTCTCATCACCAGCACAGGGAGCTAGCTGTGTCCCTGTGATGAACTCAGCTGCTGTTGCTGCTATGGTGGGGAGTCGAGGCTGGTTGGCTCTCCAGTAATGAACTACCCTGGTTCTGTGCCACCAAGGAAAACTTATTTGTGGAAAGTTTTGCACTCAGCTGCAACGTCTTTTTCAGACTTTTCCACACTGCCATCATGCTTTGCTTCATTGTTAGCACAGCATGTTGTTGTGATCACGTGGGCTCTGCATGCTGGATCCCAGCACTGATAGACAGAAATGAATGGACTGCTTGTATTATTGGAGATTTTAGATGCAGGCTGATATAATCTGATACTCGTTTTTTTGGCTGAAATCGGGCCAATATCAATACCGGATCTGGACACTCCTCGTTTTCATCTAAAGGTCGGAGTTCCGTCATGGGAGAAACCCCACAAATCTTCATTTAATTTCTGTGGTTTGTTGTTGCAGAGATTGATGTGAGCCCATCTGATTTGTCTCACTTCTCCGATGACTCACGGGCGTTTGAACAAGATCATCTGGCATTTTAAAAATCAAGCAGCGGAAAAAGCAAGCTCTCGAACAAATAGAAAAATAATGGGTGCCTAATTTATTTATTAATAATTAATTCACTGTATATGCACTATATGAGATTGCTTCATGGCTTAGCAGGAATAGTATGCATCATTTTAGATTTTGTATCATATCACACAGGTCATGTTTCTTGAACTTGCAAATGTTAGATCAGGTTTATTTGGAAACATGATCGTGTTCCTGCAGGTACTCTTCTACAGTATGTGACACCTCTATGTACTTGTCTCTGTTTGCAGGTAAAAGGTGTGTGCAAGCACCAGATCTCAGTGAACAGGATGTGATGTCACAACAGCAACAGTAACCACCGTCTTGTCCACCCTGATGTTTCTGCAAGTGGGGAGCCCCTCGCCCCACTCCAAGGACAGGACATGTTTGAAATGAAACCCCGGGCGGTGGAGAAGAAGGAGTCGAGCACCGAGACAGGTGAGTTGTTTATGGATGTCCTCTCAGTAAATGTGTACACACACACTTGAGTAAAGGTCTTCAGTCAGCCGTCAATTATTTATGTTTTAAAGCCAGACTTTCCTGCAATCTTTTGAGATGGTCTTAAATTGAAGATGTTAATTGCTTTGGTTGTTTGTTTTACCCATTATCATCCCAATTCTGGAGAAAACTGTTCACCAGCAGTCCTCAACAGTCACTAACAATCACCAACAGCCACCAAAAGTTGCTAACAGACACCAACAGTCGCTAACAGTGAACAAAAGTCAGCAACAATCACCAATAGTTGCCAACAATCGCCAACAGTCACCAACAATTGTTAACGGTCACCAACGATTACTAGTGGTCAGCAACAGTCACTAACAGTCGCTAACAGTTGCTAACAGTCGCCAACAATCTCAACAGTCACCAACATTTGTTAACGGTCACCAACAATTACTAATGGTCACCAACAGTCACCAACAGTCACTAACAGTTGCTAGCAGTTGCTAACAGTCAACAACAGCCGCCAACAGCCACCAACATTTGTTAACGGTCACCAACAATTACAAATGATCACCAACAGTCACCAACAGTCACTAGCAGTTGCTAACAGTCAACAACAGTCGCCAACAATCGCCATCAGCCACCAACATTTGTTAACGATCACCAACAATTTCTAATGATCGCCAACAGTCACCAACAGTCACTAACAGTTGCTAGCAGTTGCTAACAGTCAACAACAGTCGCCAACAATCGCTAACAGTCACCAACTTTTTTTAACGGTCACCAACAATTACTAATGATCACCAACAGTTGCTAACAGTCACCAGCAATCGCCAACAGTCACCAACTTTTAACGGTCACCAACAATTACTAATGGTCACCAACAGTTGCTAATAGTCACCAACAATCACCAATAGTCGTTAGGAATGCGCGATATAAACGATATACGGTAGAAACTATATAAATTTGTCCTATGATAGAGATCTGTAGTCTACCGGCCAACCGCACAATTCTTTTTGATGACGTAACCGGCTGGAGTCAAAACAGAGGAAGCGGGAAGCAGCGAGGCTGAGAGCGCAAATGAAGAGGTGAAAAAAAAAAACCCTATAACTTATCCGGACCTGGTTCGGGTGTGTGAAAATGAACGCCGAACTGTTTACATATTTACGTGACGGCGCTTCCTCCGGTCGAATGTCGACCGACCACACTGCCTGCTGCGGGAGGAGCGCACGCCGCGGTGTGTGTGAAGGGCTCGACACACGGGAGGCGACGTCGCTCGCTCTCCATTCATTTCCACGCAGCGAGGCGACTGTCAGTGCATGTGAAGTCAGTGCTCAGGTGGGACGCACAAAAATCAGTCTGGACCTCGTTTCTCCTGCGGACATAGCGCAATGACGCACTGCCGAATGCGCGCGCACTCCAAAGCGCGACTATAATGATTGTCACCCCGCCGGAGCRYRCACAGATTAAACAGGTGGAGTGCAGAAAAAATAATCTGCAAAGTGTGTAGAAAGGAATAAATACAAGCAATTTGTTTTACCACCTTAAAACGAAGCAGGTGATTACAAACACAACACCCAATGGATGCAGATATCTATTACATTAAAGTTATCGTGTGTGTGTGTGTGTGTGTGTGTGTGTGTGTGTGTGTGTGTGTGTGTGTG